ACCCATCATTTTGGACTCTGCGTTTGAGAAGGACACGAGGAAGATATGGCAAGGCTTGTTTTTATTCTGTGGCATCTTCGGGTCTTTCAAGACCTTGAAACGGGATCGGTGAAGTGGAGAACGAAGGGTAGTGCTTTGTCTTGAGTGCAAAAACGGGTAGATAACTCACCTTTCAAACTAAGTTAATCATATTGGAAAATAACCATTTCTCTTAACTGGCCTAGTATCTTGAATCTTCAGAACTCGTACAAACACTTTGTCTACAGGGGCTAATTGACATGCTAATTATGAATGTTGCCCATTATGTGACAGGGACATCAAGTAATGCTATCCTAGGTAAATAGTTCAGGGGGTCTTATTGAGACAGCAATTAGAGTGGGGGGGGGGGTTGTACCCAGCGAACGTGTGTCACACCACTTGCTTGACCCTGTTTATAACTCCTCTTTTCTTGTAACCTGGCATTTATTTTGTAACTTGAACGATTCTTCTATGCCGTACAGGTTTTTAATGGTGACACATTTCACTACTGCCTTACGTTTCGGTTAAACACCGTCTTCACCGGCCTGGAAAGGAGTCAGTTTCGATATTACTTTCCCTGCCGCCAAACCCCTTCCCACCCGCGTATTCGATTCACCTCGAGTGGAGATTGAGAAACTGGATGTGAAAGTCTACGCACCGAGTGTCACCGTGACAGCAACGTATGCTGCTTCAGGACGTGCTCGAGTAAGAATGGCAGTTACATCACTATGAAATGTTAAGTAGGGGTGATAAGGGATTTTTCTTCAAAATCGTCAAATCAATAGAAGGAGTAGGAAATTCAATGAATAAAGTAGCCCACGGGATAAACGTTGTTGAAAACATATGTGTGCAAAGTTTGGCGCTGATTGGTCCACACATAAAAGTTTCTATAATGAACACACTACCTATCAGTTTTCCAACACTTAGTTTAATATACGTGGATCTATGTCTAGAAACATAATTCTCATGAACGCAGTCAAATTTCCAAAGAATTCAAGTTAATACTATCCATGAAATTGACAAAAAGCGTAAGTTCAAATCTCTAAATGTCCCAATTCCATTTTCACCTAAGATTTTTTTGCACAACTGTACAGAAACGGTCTCGTCCGCTACCTCGTTACAGAATATAGAACAGCAAAAATCGCCTTTGAGATGTGCTTAATCAAACGCTTACTAGGAATGATATTTGCAGAATCAAGTAGTCGTCCGGAATATAATAAAATGTTGTTAAGAAAAAATTTCACGATCACATTCGACTATTCGACTGGCCCACTACAGTGTCATGGCCGAGCGGCTGTGTCTGTTTTTGATACTATAGTTGGAGGTCCGAGAGAGATTTCGAGATGGGAAGGAGGGATGGAAGCGCGGCAAAAATCTCTGTAGAATAAACAAGGAAGGTTTTCCATTGATTCTTGGAGCCTATGCACGCGAAACTGACAACGCTGACTTCGATTTGATTAAAATAACCCAAAACATTTGGGTGATTGTTCTGAAGTAGCATACATGAACTATAAAACTGCGCGAGCAGCTTATGATTAGAATATGTCTCCTGTTATGATTAGAATATTTTTGGCATTCCTTGGAAATCTGAGTTAACATTCAAAAATTTCTATCCGCAGCTGCTGCCATGCCTCCTTTTTCTAGATTACTGAGCTTGCAGGCAGCTAAAGCTTGGGGTGCATTCCAAAAAATATTAGGTTGTCTCATAATTAGTGCACAATTTTGGATTTTAAACTCGATCAAAGTAATTCTTTTCCAAAACCATTTTAAGAGCAATGAAAACTATTGCAAACAGCAACCTTTGCTACAAAATGCATGCTTTCGTTCAAAGCCTAGCCACTCTGAGAAATATTTTCTACCACGAATAATTTCAAAACATTTTGCTGAATACCCATACTTTGAGAGTGCTCAGCTTACACTCATACCAGGATCGCGCAACTTTGCTCGTTATATAGCGCCGGTTGTGCAATGAAGTGAAGTTTGGAATTAATCGCATATTTTTGTGAGAAATTTTTGCAAAAAATTTGAAAATACCCATTTTTTCAGAATTTCACAAAATTCAAAACACTATCTGTTTGGGATCTATATAATTTCCTCTCCTCTGAAAAACGAAAAATGCTGTCGTTTTCCTTGGTTGGTTGTACTAGGTTCACTCGGCGGCCTAGCAGGAGGAACCAAAGGCCTTGCCGCCGTACCCGCAGGTGGCAACTAGGAGTGCGAGCATTGTAGAGAAGGATTTCGCAAAGATCCAGAAAAACTTTGCAAAGAAATTTAGAATTCTAATGAAATTCCACATAATTTTGCTTGGAAAAACGCAGGAGATACGAGGGAGGCAATTTTGAAATTCATTTTTCATGACTTTTGTTGATAAAGTGAACAGATTTCAAAGCAACTTGTAGACATAAAATTCTAAAAAATTCCAAAAAATTTTAATTGGAAAATCACTGAGACTATGGAAGGCAAATATAAAATCAGTAGTTCAAAATGAGATCTTGAATTAGTAATTTTAGATTTTAATGGTTACTCTTATCAAATAGACAAAAAGTTGTTAGCAATTGAGAAATTTCAACTTAGATTTGATAGCCCTGCAGCATACTCGGCAAATTCCTCGCATTTTTAGCAAATTTCGATGAGATTTTGAGATTGTGCTCGCACAAAAAGGCGTTCCACCAAAAGTTGAGATGTTCTATCACATCGACATCCGTATCGCTTCAGATTTTTTGTGATGCGTTCCAGTTTACTCAAGGATTGCAATTCGAAGAAGAACCCGTAAACAAAAGCATTTGAATTCTGTGTGAAAATGCGGCACAGGGACCCGTCTTCTAGTTGAATTGCGATGTGTAATACTATTCAATAATCCACAGAGCTTCCTGCAGCAGTTCCGTAGCGGATAACATGCGTACTGCGATAAATTTTGCATCAAAGGATCGATTTGCATAATGTGGTACCTAATTCCGTAAAAGGACTTACCGGGATTTCAGGTGCTTGTCGGTTGTATGCATGTGGCTTGAGTATCAACAGCTGGTTTGGAAAATTATTGCCCACTCCACAATTGCTGCTACTCCTGTTCTGCGACTTTTCTGCGAACGGCTAACATACTGGCACATGCCACAACATGTTGGTGTGGTCAACAGTCAGAATTTCTTGATGACATGCTTCTACATGTTGCCAACATGTTGTTGCATGTTGCCAACATGTTGTTGCATGTTGCCAACATGTTGTTGCATGTTGTCGACATGTTAACACGCGCACCGCACGTCAGAGACGCAGAGCAGGCGCGGAGCATTCGTAAAATGGACGATATATCGTCGACTCTAAAAATCGTGACGACGGTCTGCAGTGCGGCCAGTGCGCGCCGCACGGCACTGCCGCTTTAACGTAAGGCAATCTTGCTTCTCAGCAGTGTAGGCTCCCTGCGGTAGCCATGAAAGTTCCTGCAAGCAAAAAAGATGCAAAAAGAAAAAGTAAAACCACAAGAACTCACCTTCTCCACGTAATTTGGGCGAATCACTAGACGGCAGTGCCGTGCGGCGCGCACTGGCCGCACTGCAGACCGTCGTCACGATTTTTAGAGTCGACGATACCCTGTCTCGTGCTTACCTGTGATGGCAAACACTTTTGCCTCAAACATTATTCTTTGAATATCCAGTTTTAACTTGCTCTGGAGCTCGCATAGAGTCCTTCGTATGATACTGCACAAGGTGTCGCGGAACTAGAGTACAAGAATAGCCTATTCTCAGGTCACTTCGTGCTACCAGCTGACTTGGCCATAAGGGTAGCACGAAATTGAAGTGGACAAATAAATGCTAGTTGAGTTATTTTCTACTTGAAATTCGTAGATGCATGTATAGGCGAATATCGCAAGCACAGACTGGACGTCGTTGCGTCCGACCAAGATAGTTTATGAAGGAGAGAGGCAGCAGACGGTAATAGAGATGAAAGAGCCCTATATTAGCGAGACGAAAAAGCTTCCGTAGTGACGTCCTGTCTTTGCGTGCTTAAACCGCTCATAGGTCCTTTTCTATGATACAGATGATGTAGATGTAACGAAGTCAGATTGAACCTTCCAGCAAACCTCAGATTAGCTACTCTTTCTCTTCTCCAAGTTTAGTACACTCGTATTAAACGAGATTGGTGCTGTAATACATGTCATTGCCATCAACAATCATAATTGTGCTTGTGCTGGAAGCTATTCAACTCCGCCGGCGGCGACAGTTTATTGATATTTTCGCTTAATAATCTCAACCTAACCACTATTTGCAGTTTCGCGCAAACCCACCCATCAACGTGCTTTTGTTTGCTTTTTCTCCATATCTTATTTCTCGACACTCACAGTTTCGGAATGCCGCCCTTTTCTTTCGCTTACTCCCGAACTTTGAGATCTCGACATGCACACTGTCATCGACAATCATGCTATGCTTGGACGAAGAAAGCCATTTTCATTTGTTGTTTGCGTGCAATTGGAACCATTTACAGTTATAGTCATGCAATAGGATCGGCATTATTGTGTGCTTACACTCCATGGCGCCTTTATTTGACGCATATAAAAAAATTCGTGTTACTCTAGTCTATTGACATTATTCAGCACTCTAGTCATATCATTTCTTTGCAGTTTTTTTCAAACAGTCCTACCTGGATTTCTCTCAAGCATAGCACGATTGTCCATTGAGCATCTTTGTATAGGCCGTTTGTAAAATCGTGAAGACAGATTTGAATGCGGTCTTTGGGCCCACAGGTGCAGAAAACACTCATACAAAACGGCATCACCTCAACTCTCAGCTCAGTCTTTTCCAATGTCTAAATACTGTCATACGTAAGCAGAAAAACCATTTAAGGAGAGCAGAAAACCTAGAAAATGCGGTTGTCGTGAGGTGCGTGCGTGTCGCGCGCGGTCGCGCCATCGTCACGATTTTTCGAATACCCTTTACTTTTGCATTATTCTAGCAAAACCCCCTGTGTGAATCGAGGTCGAGGGCCTAAGAATGGTTGGTTGAGGTGGATATTGAGTAGAACTTTATTTTATTACTACATTTGTACAGCTCCAAGTCAGCTCTTTTGAAGGAGCCACTTTGCGCGTTCCACCAGAGTTCCGGCATCGTGCTAGAACTGTACCCCACTTGACATCACATAGGCCTGCCAATAGTGGTCTCACATGGTACCAAAAAATAAAAGGTTAATATTGCTAGCCTGCGTTCAATATTTATACCTTTTCTACTCCTAGGATTAGGTTTTAGTTGCTCGGAGATTTGGATTGATAGACCGAGAGCAATGGGTCGGCGAGGATTCATTACTGGTTTACCAGTTATGGTACATCTTCCATAATCTCCGTGATCCATGGACTTCTGAGGATTTTAGTCCTTTTTAAGTAGCCAGTATTGGTGAAAAAGATTTCACACTATTTAAGTACCAAAAACCTGGTGCCGTCACAAGATGGCCGTCGTTTTGCAACATTGCAATTATTGGCTCTTGCGATTTTTTAAGGCGTAGTTCTTCGTGTAAAAGTTAAGCGGTTGCAAGTTTAGAAATTTATTTCAAGATTAAAACTGATTAAGGTTTTCTTATTTTGAACAATGTGCTTTCACTTGACAATTTCGCCACCAGTCGCCAGACTAACGCCGAAATATTGTCGATGCAGTTCAAAAGGACGACTTTCACTGAAATATGCAAATTTGATCGATTGAGAATCTGCCCGAGAATTATTAACAGCAAATACGAAATGAACACCACATGATTGGATTTTCTGTATTCGTTTTTGAATTGTAAGGAATTCAAAGAATCTGATTGTACACTGCTCTAGCATGCTTCTTGCTTGCAAGTTATGCACAACTCAATTTTTAAACAATTTTTTTCGAGCTAATTCACAAATCAAAGCACTTATCTCCCTTTTGATAAAGTAATCTTGATTTCCAACATGCTAGCGTTTTTCCTTTTCTTCCTTCTCAGTCGAAAACAAAAGCATTAGTCATTAGTCTTCGCTTCGGCACGTGAGACTTATCACACGTTCCTATGTTCTAAATTATTCAATGGTGATGAATTTCCCTCTCTGCATAACCGGAAATGCAAATTCATTTTGATTTTTGAAAGTTGGTTGTTCCAGTCGTAGTAAATTCGCTGTAACTGCAACTTTCGCATTCCTGTGTTGTACTTGATAAGGAAATGCAAATATCGATTCTTTTACTACGTTATCTGTTCTTTCTTACTATAGTTCTTACGAATTCCTAGCATGAATTTTTGTGATCCAGTTCCTTTCCTCTGCAATGATGAGTAAACAGCGAGTCATTCTTTTATGAACTCTCACCAAGCAAGATGAGAAATAAAAGAAAGCCACTTCAACTTGGAAAAAATTTGATAGTTTTGAACCATTCTTAAAGTTGTGAAAGTTTTGCAAACTGTGATTTGTATTGAGCGAAGCGGAACATAACCGAACAACATAATTTGAGATAACTTGGTTAGAAGTTTTTTTTCTTCGAATTTGAGCTCAAGAAATCTCTGAAGCTGCTTGTAATGGCGCCAACAATAATGTTTGAAATCTTATATAAAGGTGAGCTGCTTGTCTGTCTGTATGTATGTCGTAAATATGTCTGTATGTATGTCTATACGTATGTCTGTACGTATGTTCCGAATAGGAAATTCCATTTCTGAACCGATCTGGACCAAACTTGGCACACATACACATTGGGCCCTGGCGGGTGTCATAGGCTGCTTTTCGTCATCGATCGATATCGATTTTATCGATTTTTTGCAAAATTCAAGCTACGGGGCTGGGAGTTGGCACAGGGGGGTAATCGAGCATGCTGATTACAAATATATTATTGACAGTGCCGGGCGGAGCCGGGTAAGCCATCTAGTTTTTAATAATTCTAAGTCTACTCCTGTAGCTATCTGGTCCAATGATTGAAACTAGTTTGTAATATAAACTGAAGGGCCTTTTTGTTGATCCTTTCTGACTGCCTTTGCTCGTTGATTCACCTCGATACTCATCTATTCATTTTCTCAATTTCTTGTTTTCGTTGTCTTTTTATCCACTGAATTTTGGTGCTACTGGTATGCAAAAATTCAAATACTATTAAAATTTGTCTATATTTACGAAACACTTGAAACGATAATGACTAGCAACAAAAACCGATGAAGACTGGCAGCATATCTACGATCTCATTGCCTGTCATATGTGAGGAAAGAGGAAATTTGAGCTGAATAAACAGGCAATATTCTCTTATGAGAACTTCTGGAATAAGTTTAGGTATGCAGTGTTTCTGAGCCAGTCGTTAACTGGCAGGTTATATCAGACTATTGAAACCGGTTTCGTATGTAATGAGCATTCGATTTTTGGCGATTTTAACTTGTATTCTCCATTTTTTGGAGCTGATTATTCAAATCATACTTATTTCTTTCCACCCCTTTCATTAGAAGTACTATATAACTTTTTGCATAACACTTTTTTATTCCTTCGTATGCTCTGCGATTTCTCACTCCTCTAACACCCCTAGATTATCGACCTCTTTAATCCAGCAGCACTGAAGATTTTTTCCCGTTTTCATTCCTTTCGTTTTTACTAAAAAATGTTAAGATGCTTACTTGCTGGGGGTAATATGATAATCAAAACGGGCAAAATGACAGAGTAGCAAAATTTCATTGCTGTTCTCAGCACACAGCTCGTAACAGTCAAAGAAGTCATCAATTTTCTTATCAGCGAATTTCATAGAGATTTTGCATTGTATGGAATAATTAGCTGCTATTTTTATTTATTATATTTAATGAAAATCACCATGAAGACACGTATTATATGAGGAATTATCATGCTCGCATTTTTGAGAACTGCGAAACCATGATATAATTCACAGTATATACATTTTCCAAAGTTGATTCATGAATCTTGCATCAAGTACCACAACTTACCAATAGAAATGTATACAAAAACGCCAATTTTTGGTATATATTTTGTGACGCATGACAAGTGCTCTATTTGTATAAAAACTTTATTTGGAGGAAGTTCAAGGTGCCGAGAAAAAGATTAGGCAAAAAGAAAAAGAAAAAACAAAAATCATAATTTTGAGTTAGAAACATCCGACTAGCACGAAATCTGCTCGATCGCGACGAGTGGGCTGTGAACCATTATAAAAATTAAAACCAAATTTTATTAAACGTTATAGCATTTTTAGCGATCAAAATTCGAAAAGTTACGGTCTGAGTGCTTTTCCTTATCAGCTTGTACCGACGATATGCCAACATTTTTTGCAAGAATTATTGGAAAGCACATGATTTTCTTAGTCTGAGCCTTATTGGAATAAACATTTTTTTCCAAATTCTGAGAACTTGAGATTTTTCGAAATTTTGCGAGATTTATGGAGCAACTCATATGCTGCTGAAGGCACTGATCAGGCAACAGCTTTCTAGTTGGTCTACATTTATTGTGAGAATTGAACTCTGAGCCGTTTTTAGTAGAAAATTTTCGCTGTTTCTCCACAAAAGAAATTTTTTCTAGAAATCACAAACAATGAGACATCGTATTCGAAATGCTGATTTCTCATCAAAACGGGGAAATTGTGCCGCTCACAATGGCTGAGCATTGCGGCAATGAACATCGATTGCAGAGCAAACATTGATGAGCAATCGACGGGGGGCCACCTTGGCACTTGCCAAGAATAGGTGCAGCATTGTGCCACGGCATTGTTCTGCTCCCTTTTTCCAGTTTCGTTTTCTTCTGAACCGAGCATTGCCGTCGTTTTTCTTCGCCGCCGTCTTTATCAACAAACCTGCTGGTTTCAGGGACATTTTGCAATGAATTTTGAATTTTTACGAACATTACATGGATTTATCAACTTACTACAAGTGGTCAGTACATTTTAATATCTTCTTGATCCTCTTAGTAATTGTGATGAATCTCAGTGCTTTGGATTTGCTGCAATTTTCGCCTCGTCACTTATATGGAGCGGTTCCAACCTCTACTTCCAGTTCATCTACCAAGTGAGCAAATCATCTACATTTATTTCCGAAAATTGTCATAATCAATTTTTTTGCAGGGATTTGGATGGCAGACGTTGATATTATTCATTCTGGTCACTACATTCATTTTCAACTTTATTGTGTTTCTTTCTAACCTTCTCGGTAAAGATGTGCTCGGCACAGTGGGAAAGAAAAGGGTGAGAATTTTTAAAGTTTTGATCTTTTACACTCAGTCGATCCGCTCATTATAGTGCCCTTGCGGTGCTGAGATTGGGCGACCAAATTTGCGCGTGAAAAAAAAGCCATGTTTGTATTGTTGGCATTCTGCGCGAGAATGACCGGCATTACTGGCGTAGATATTTGTTCACGAGCGATAATTTCGGCGCAGCAAGCACAATATATCAAGCGGAAAATATACTAAACTGTAACTAAAATCTAACAAAAGAATAGTCTCAATTCCATATATTTTAGCTGCTTCTCATGTATGCTATCTGCCTAGTCCTACTTATTGTAGCAGCCGCACTAGAAACTTGGTACTGTGGAATATCTGCAGGATATCTACATAGTCGGTTTATAGCTGTAACTGTAAGTTCTACTCATTTCACTTGCTCCTCTCATTTATCCATTCCACATAGTCATATATGTTTTAGATCTTCAGCTGGCTACTCGTAGTCAGTTACATTGCCCTACTCGTGGTGACCATACTATTTGTATAAGATAAGAGTTATTTAGCTGTACATCTGTTTACTGAGAAATGTTCGTTGTTTTTCTTTTGCTATAAAGTATCTGTATATATCTAGAAAGGGTGTCAGTTATACTGAAATACTATACAAGTACAATGCTCAATGTAGAGCGAAGCGTGGGGAGGGGGCAAGATAGCGCAACACAAAACAAGCTTGATTGACCTTCTCAGGTGCGACGTAACGATGCTTAGAAAATTTCACTTTTTCTTTCAAATTACTTTTTCAACGAAGCTAATACTGTTATAATTACATTTATCTTTATCGAAAATCAAAGCATGACGTAAGCTGGTATCTCACTGCGCTCGCAAACTCAAGACTCATTCAGTTACAAGCAAAAAACCCAACAAAGTAAAAGCAGTGAGGTCTCTCATTATAGGAATAATCCAGTTGGATAGTATTAAGTTTACAGTTGAACATTTCTTTTTTGATAGAAATATCTTGTCCACTACCAGAATATGGGAAAAGAAGGGAATAGGCAAATACTTCAAAAAACGCGTACAGTTATCATCACAAGATCCTGTGTTTCTCAGTGAGATTTGTTACAAACAGCTCAAAAAATGTGCTTAGTATTCAACTCAACAATGAATCGAGTAGAAAGATTCTGAGACGAATATGCCTTAATTTAAAATCGAGTAAATTGTACAGAAAGAAAGACTGATGGAGAACGCGAGAAGAGGTCGACGGTTCACAAATAATGGGAAGGGGCTTTTTTGGCGCACCAAGTGTTGCATAATTTTCATACATATTATTAGGTTGCTCCGAAAAATGTTTCCATTTTTTTTAACCTGTCGTGAATCACGTGAACAAGAATAGATGAACACTTTGCAGCTACTATAAAGCTCAAAGTGTTCCGAAGAGCGAAAGGGTCTCTTTAGTCTTGTACTTATAATGTAAAAGCCTTAACTTATCCAAAAGTTTGATTTTCTTAGTGAAGCTGATCTTGATGATAATCTCACATCAATTTTGTCTATGCATCACTCCCTATAATCTTTACCATCTAATCAGAAAAAAGTACTTAATCGAAACATAGCATTAACGCACAATCATAGGAAAAGGCAAAGAATGAAGGTTAGGCAGAGGCCAATCCTCAGAAACAGAAAATGGGGAAAGGCAAAAGGAAAGAGCAATCTGCCACCGGAGTGCCAAGTAAAGTGGGAAGAAGAGACTGAACCAAGAAAGGGCTAGCGTATATGTGACTGCTATTTTATCCAAACCCGGTCTCTTATAGCTTCCCTAGAAGATTCTGTTGCTCACTCCTCATCTACGGCGGTCCCAAACATCCTCCTCCCTGCGCGGATTCTTACAGGCCAACACGTTACGCTGGACGGCTACGCGTGGCATAAAGAAGCCTGCTTAAAACCTGCTTCATAGACTGAACCCCCCGACTTCCACAGGGGAAGTCCAGCAAGGGAACATTTCAATAAAATAGGGTAGCCCCAGATTTATGCTGGAGATGGACAGCTTCAGCGGGCCCTCCTGCATGTGGGACCCTAGCGGCATGGGGAATTAGTCACAAAGTACATTCAACCGTCACCAAATAGACTTTCGCCAGCTCTTCTTAATTGAAGTAAAAATTTGTCGGGATATCTCTATCTTGACACATTCTATCATAAAATGTCCAGGAGGAACTTCAGTATTATTAGTCGCCTGCAGGTGTTGGTCCAGATATAAAAGGTACGGTGGAGTCAGTGTGCCACAAGCAGAGAGCATACAGCGCGTCGTTTTGGTTGCAGGGAGACTTGATGATATGATTAGCAAGATCAATAGCCAGAGGAAAGATAATAAGCAATCGTAATAGTCGCGTTGTGTCTGTATCATTAGGAGTGTCGGGTGGTGGATGAAGCCGTGTGCTCGATCTCTTTCGCTGCGTGCGCTCCAATTATTTTCAGACTTAATTAGCGATCGAAGCTCCATCCTCCATCCGCCGCTTCCACTGAAACAGAGGGTAGCTAAGAACAGCGCCAGAATCCGACCGAAAATATTATAATTTGTTTGTAACAATCTCGGCGTTGGCTACAAGACATCAATCTCAACTTAGAAAATATTATAGTTTCTCATAACATCATAGATATAAAATGGAGGCGACAATAGGGCTCGTATCCATACCAGAAGAGTAGTCTATAGAATCTGACGTAGGAGAGGAAGTGAACAGAGTTTCGACCAGCATCGATAAGTTATACGGTGTGTCTTCTTCGAAAAGTCCTTTGAGAACTGGCTCTAACGTGGACCGCAATATAAAAGTACAGTTATGCTATAATCAATAATGAAGCTGTGAAATTTCTATGTGCTTGTGCTTATCAAAAGGTTCCCCCCTTGCGCCCAAATATCAAAAAATGTAAGGTGGATGTCGGAGCCTCCATGTGCGCCGCCGCTTACATCCGTAGCGTAGCGGGATACGCCAAGTGTCGCTAATCAACAAAATCGGCGCATAGCCTTAGTCACTATAAATCTATACATGCTCTGTCCTGTAGCATGCCATGAAACCAGCCGCCGTACAGAAAAATGGCAGAGCAGTTTCATTATACTGGTGGAGAAGAACGTTATAAAATACACCGACTCTTGAGACTTACCTCCAACATCTCTCAATGGACCGTCATCAAGTTAAGACTGTAGTCCTGACGTCACAGTGACTTTCGCATTAACGATCTCAATGGTTTTATTACCCAAGTTTGAGGTCCTGACGTCACAGCGACTTTCGCGCTAGTGATCTCAATGGTTTTATTACCCAAGTTTGAGGTCCTGACGTCATAGTGACTTCCGCGGTGCTGACTGTAATAGTTTTATCACCTAAGTTTACCTAAGTACCTTAGTTTACCTTAGTAACTTTTTTACCTTAGTTTACCTAATTTATTACCTTAGTTTTTTTAGTGCCATGCAAATTACTATGGTGGGAAGAAACTGCAATTTTTTGACAACGGTTCGACAAAACTTTCGGTCCTCAATATTATGTTTGGTGCTTTAATGCTTTTCACAATTTCCGAACTGGTAATTACTGGTTATCAGAAACTAGCAACAGAGCCAAAATAATTCAAATGTTGTTATTAGAAAGAAATTTTGTGTCTCACCTACATACATACTTGCATAGTGATAATCGACAGTTTGATAGCATGTTTTCAAGCTTTCAAATTTCAACTTAAACATAATTTTGATCACTAGTACCATTTTGTTCACTAGTACGCGGTTCCAGGACTTTTTTTGAGGGGGGGGGGGGGAATTGTTTTCAAAAGGTGCATTCTTAAAAAGATTTCAAAAATCATTTCACCTATCTACAAGTATAAAGAAGTCACTTGCACTTTTATGACCCATGTAAGTAACTTTCAAAAAATTCACGACCAATTCTCGACGGGAGGAGAGGCTCCCTCCCCCCCTACCCCTACCCCCGGTCTGCTACTGATGTATACACCTACCAAATTAGCAACTGCTATTCGATCTCAACAGAGAATTGAAAAATTGACCAATATTTCCCGTTTCTCAACAAACGTATAAGACAACGCAAGATGGCTTACTGGCTTACCAGTTTGCAGTTACAAAATACGGAGAAGATAAGCAGTCAGCACTAGTATACAACAGCGGCGATACTGCGCAGAATATTAGGATACATATACACATTTAGATTTTGTGTGGGCGTTCATGCTTCTGCGCGGTCCATCATCCAAGTACCACCGAAGTTGCTCTTAAAATGAAAAAAAACAAAAACAAAAATTTTACATTAGAATTTTATTGTTTTTCTTCGTTTTCGAATTTTGCGTTTGATTATAATACCTCCCTTACTGCTCCTGCCACTTATTATTGAGACCGATGGATGTGTTTTAGCGCTCTGTTCTAGTACAGAGATACCTTGCCTTTTATGCAAAGTGGGAAACCGAAAGTTTTTGGTTATTTTCAAGTCTTTTTTCTCAATCATTTAGTCCATCTTCAATCTCTACTTATAAAAGTGATGAATGTACCTGCACGCTAGAAGCGCTGCTAAAGCACGGCCCCATTTTACAGAATTAGATTTGTTAGCACTATTACTTTTCTTTTTTAGGAGAAGGGATTGAAGAATTCCCTTTGTACTATAAATATAAGTGGCGGTCCCAGAATTTCCGTTCGAGGAGAGGGTAGCAAGAATTTTTTGTCAGAAGAAGGTGCATTTACAAAATACAAAATACAATACTTTTACAAAATCTAAAAATAATGATCTTCAAAACACGTCAGAGGGAACTTCGTACAAAATTTTGCGATACCCTGTAGATCATACACGAAGCTGGAACTGCGCATATACTTTTGTTCAGTATGTTAATAAAATGCCGGCAAATTGCGAAATTCAGGTTTCTGAACTTAAAGCATGGAAGGGAATATTGAAATCCGTGAAAACTTGGTGATGAGCTTAGTTTCAATTTTTGCTTATTTGGAGTTATACATAAAGAATTCAAAACACAAAAGTGAGGCAAGTTCAATGGTACCGAAAGATGGATCCGATAAAACTATCGAAGGAAAACTCCCATTTAAAATCTGAATCTTACACTTTGCACAGGCTCTGCTGTCCACTAGTGCTCACTTATCGCCTCTTCAGGGCTAGTAAACTGGTGAGACATCTTGTTTTATCATATACGTTTATTGACAAACGGGAAATAATGGTTAATTATTTTTTCGCTTTTCTTTTGTTGAGACCATTGCAACAGACAAGCTTGTACGCCTACTTATCAGTGGCCTACCGGAAGCGGGGAATGGAAAACTGAGAAATTCTGAGAAATTCTTGAAAGTACATAACCTATACGAGTCCAAAAAGTTCAAAAAAGGTGCAAGCAACTTTTACTTGTTAATAATTGCTAACTCTCTAAGATTTTTGAAAATTCAAATCGGACAAGAAAAAATTTTTTGGGAGTGTGCCGGCTGCCATGCTCCCTTCCCTAAAATTTTGGAGATATGGATCCGCAAAAATTTTGGAAGTCCCAAAAATTTTCAAATTGACGCCGTGCACCTTCTTCTGA